TATTTTTCTTATTTTTCATCTCAGATGCAGATGGGCCAGAAGATAGCCCGATAGCTGCACTCGTAGATGTGCCTGGTTTGTCAATTCTACTTCGGGGATTTCTGATTCCGAACATTTTTGTCGTGATACCTCAGTGATTCTTTTATTTTTCTTATTTTTTTTTTATGTCAGATGAAGATGGGTCGGCAGATAGCCCCATAGCTGCATTCGCAGATGTGCCTGGTTTGTCAATTTCCAAATACGTTCTTTCTAATATTTCAGTGATTCCTTTCTTGCCTGATGCTACTTCGGGGATTTGCGATTCCGAATACTGTTTTCGTGATACCTCAGTGACTCTTTTATTTCTCTTATTTTTCATGCCAGATGTAGATAGCCCGATAGCGGCACTCGCAGATGTGCCTGGTTTGTCAATTTCCAGATACTTTCTTTCTAATATTTCAGTGATTCCTTTCTTGACTGCTTCTACTTTGGGGATTTCCGAACACTTTTTTCGTGATACGTCAGCGACTCTTCGTTTATTTTTCTTATTTTTCATCCCAGGTGCAGATGGGTCGGCAGATAGCCCGATAGCTGCACTAATAGATGTGCCTGGTTAGATTCAACTCAGGGGAGTGAAGCAAATAAAGATTCTGAAAACATGGATAATTATCGTGACACATACCGGTTTATCAGCATTTATTAAAATGCGGCCATAGCGACTTCCCAGCTAACACTTTTTGTCAGGCTTCAGATATGTTGGCCAGAAATGGTCAGTACGGCAAAATTGTGGCAAATGCCAATACGCATTTTGGCCCAGTCATCGGCTACCTGTTACATTGCCAGAAGCGCGGTAATGGCCACGATATGGGCCCTCAATTAAAACGCGGTATCTGCAGCAGACATGAAAATGAGAAAACGGCGCCTAAAGTTTTTTCTCTGGATTTTGGGTTTGAATTGATTTCTTATCACGAAAAATGTACAGTGGTAGTTGGAAATATAGTTAAATTTAATGTTCAGTGAAAAAATCATGTTTCCACTTATCAAGTGGCTAAAAAATCACATACGGCTTTTTAATTGTGCAGAGCACATATAAATTTTTAAGTGAAAAACGCCGTAACTGCATTAATAATTGAGATAATGAATATACAGTGAACTTCAACATAAAAAAAAACAAATTAGTCAGTTTATTGTACAAATTCAACATAATATAAGTACATAATTTTATAAAACACTTGATTAGATCATATCTTTCTCTTCCCCACTGTCAAATGCAGCTTGCTCAGTCAAAACGCGGTAAATACATGACGCGCACGTGCACATACCGCGATTTAGCTAAGGATGTTACAGATACTGCGTTTTAACTGAGAAATCATGTCATTTTTGCAGATATGGCAAAATATTTATATTGTGTTTTGCTAGTAAATGAGTAGTTACCGCATTTAGCAATTGTAGGTAGATAACAAAACCTGTAGCTATCTCAAATTTGAAAAAATCTCAATTTCTCAGATTTTTGTAGATGCCGCTTTTTAATTGAGGACGGCAGCACATGTGGCCCAAAATTAGTAAATTTATATGAATATTCGGCTACTATTCGGTATTCGCCCGAATAGTTTTATCCGGCCGAATACCGAAAGCTGAATAATAAAAAAAAAAAAACGCACACATATTACTCAAAAATGTACCTTAATAATAAGTCACAATGAATCTAATACCTAAAATCTATCAAATAGGCGACTTTTTATTAATTACTGGTGCCATTTTGATAACTTTTGGCTAAAGTTAAACAGTAGAGAATATAGCTAATTATGCGTATTGTGACACGATATATTCTCAAGTGAAACAAATTCCGTCGTTACCGGAAGCGACGCGATGAGAATGAGACAGGTCCTGACCTGTTGCTAACGCACAAAACCCACAGATCTGCCGCCGAATATTTGGCGGCAGAATATTCGGCGCTGCAAACGAGAGCGTGGCCGAATATTCGGTATTCGGCCAAATCACTATTCGTGGCATAAGGGTCACAATGCGGGGCATTGCGCTTAGTGACAACGGATATTTTTGTTACTTATACAACAAAATCTCAAAACCACTTCTTAAAAACAGCTAAAGTCAAACAACAAAAAGTCTGTTATATGTATATGCCTACGATTGCCCAGCCCATTGCGCAACAAGTACAAGTACAAGTAGTGTTATAGCAGATAGGACGGTTCGTATATTTGGGGAACAAGAAATTTGATAATCATCAGGAACATAAAAGTAAATACTAAATTATAATAGTCATAAAACGACTACAACAAAACAAAACCGACAGCATTGTTATAAAAAAAAATAAAGCAAAAACATCAGCAAGACTAAGCTCTAAATACGTAACGGTTCTTCAAAAAAAAAACAATCAAAGATTGCTATGGTACCTATGTCTTAGCAATATTTTTCTTTAATTTCATCAATGAACTTTAACCCATTAAAGCTGAGAAAAAAAAATCTCGAAATTAAGCAAATTTTTATTATAAATGAGTAGTAGTAAACAATGTTATTTCACATATTTAATCAAGTAAACGTATTTTTTTCCTAGATTAACCAAAAAATAAGGTGTTCCCATATGGAACCTTTAGGCATAACCTCTATGAATGAGCAACAATGAAAAAAAAAATTGGTTTTATTTCGATTTTTCTAACGAAACCTTAAAATTATGGGTGAAAATTATCACTGAGTGTGAAACTTTCGAAAGCAGTCAACACGTAGGCCGATATTGCATTTGCAGCACACTGTTCTTCCTCGGCTGCTGCAGTTTTCACCACCACACCGTCTTCTTTTACCTTCAGGAATAGTGGCTACATAATGATGCATACCATCATACCTTATATCGTCATTGACTCGGAAATCACTTGCTGCAGCCCGAGGCATTCGTCCTGTAGCGCGAGGTGGTACTCTAAATCTCGTTAGGTACGTCTGGAAATGAAAGTAATGTCCAAATATTATGATTTCACAAAAAAATGTTGGTTCTATTCTACCTGTGATATATTTCTCCTAAAGTCGATGTGATGAATTTTTCGACCACTTTTTCGGTATAATATCCAGGCGTTTTGAATTGCAGCATCTATAAGGTTGTAAAAATAGGCCAATACCATTTTCTTGCACGAACTTCAATTCCGTAGCTAGAAATGAAATATAGTTATAAAATCTAAGCAAAATTATTTTTTGCAAAAAATCCTACCATGAAATATTGTTATCCATTTGATCGGTTCCACCCATATTTTTATTCTATTGCATAATCAAATCCGGCCTAGGAATGGAAATTGTCTTTTTATCTGTTCTACTAAATCTATCAACTGGTTTTATTGGTGTCACTCCATATAGCGAACTTGCTATAGTAACAGCTTTGTTGTCCATCCATCTTACATAAATAATGCCACTGTTTTTTTCCAAAATATATGAAAAATCTCCTCTAACTTGTTTTTCCAATTGTTTTTTTGGGGTCAACGGGATTTCTCTCGGTAACCTATTTTCCCGTACGGTGCCTGTCGCTCCATATCCATTTTTTTTAGTGTACAAAGCAGATTTGCATTTGTAAACAGATTATCAGAAAAAAACTATATCGTAGTAATCCTTTATCGCCCAATTCTTCAATCATTTGCAACAAAGGAGCTGCAGGTTTACCAACCAATGATTCATAGTTTGGGTTTATTATATGATTTTTTCCTTGATAACTCTCAAAATTTATGAGGTAGCCACTTGGAGCATTCAAGCACCAAACCTTGTAGCCAAACCTAATAGGTTTTCCACGGATAAACTGCTTACATCCGCGGCGACCATAGTAACGAATCATTGACTAAATTTCCAAAAGACACTAAAGTTTATGCATTAATAATTCATTCATTTTAGTTACAATATGTTAAATGGTTCTGTAGCAAATAGTTCCCTGTATTAGTTTTTAAGTTCAGTTAGAAATAGATATAATTTATGTAATTTTTAATTTATAATAGATATAATTTATGTAATTTTTTATTTATTTAAATAATAAACGCATTTATAAAACCCAGAAGTTTAAATCGATATTTAAGCATGGCACAACCTGAAAGACCTGAGAGTAGAGGCTCATCCATTTTCAGTGACGAGACGGAGCGTAATTATGACGATAAGGATTTTTTACAAATGATGCAAGACTTGCGGGACATGGAGGACTTGCAGGACGAAGAAGATGCTCGTAGTCAAGTGGAGCCGGACTCGAGCAGCGACTGGCCGGAACCAGAAGATTGCTCGGGTCCCGCAGACTCAACTACTGGGTGAATAATCCCACAAAGTCAGTAGTTGTACTAATTTATGATGTCGAATGCTATACCCCCCCCCCCCCCCCCGGATATGAAATGGTCCGTCCTTTTTAGGACCTCAAAAAGATTCATCGTAGTTAGTTGATCATAACTTTGTATCCATATATTGTCGCTTATCACAAATTTTAAAAAAATCTAAAAATTTAAAAAAACTTTTTTTGTGTAGTGTATCAAAATTTTTGTAATGACTTCAAGAAACCGAATTTGAAGGGTGGTCCAAAAAAAAAAAAAATGTATCTAGTTTTTTTATACAAGTGCATAGTTGGGTAGGTGGTGCATGGTGGTGGTGGTATTTGTCACCCAATCGAAAAAATCTTAGGTGGGTGAGTTATGTGTGGGCGGAGTGAGGTACCACTTTAAAAGTCGACCTACCCATACATTTTTATCAGTCAGCTTAGGATCATGGAGTCTCAAAACTTATTCATTGAAGAGACCCTTGATGCTAACCTACTAAGCGATCTGAGAAATATCACCTTAGACGCTCTTGTGAAGAATACAATAGTTGAAGCCCATGCTGACGCTACCGTGTGTGCCCCAATAGTTATATTATCGGATGATGAAAACGAAGCCTTCCACACAGGTCCCCCCCTCAGGAGGCCAGTTAAAAACCTCAGCCTCATGAGGGGGCCGGTGGAACAAGTTAAACGGGCGTCTGTGCTGAAGACAATTCTGTTGACTGGGGAAAATGGGAAGGAAGAAGGCCGCCCCAATGCAAAAAGGCGGCGGACAGGAGGGCGAAAGCAGAAGATGTCGCCCGAACAGAGCAGCAGCAAGAAGCAGCAGCAGCAGCAATAGCAACAGCAGCAGCAACAGCAACAGCAACAGCAGCAGCAACAGCAGCAGCAGATACAGCAGCAGCAGCAGAAACAGCAGCAGCAACAGCAGCAGCAGCAACAGCAGCAGCAGCAACAGCAGCAACAGCAGCATTAGCAACCAGAGTCTGATGGGCTTTTCCACTTGATAATCCAACGGAAGGAGGTCCTTCAGGCCAAAACTGTTGCTGAGAGGACTGCTGTTGTAGAAGCAGAAAAAAATGTCAGCGCGTCGATCAATCATGCAGAGGATGTGAGGCGGAGAGTTGAAGCTTCAAAAGCTCAACTCGAAGCTTTGAAAGCTCAATTAAAAAAAGAACAGCACGAGTTGGAGCACGCCAACCAGCAAGTGGTGCTGAATAAGGTAGAGCTGCGTGTGATGACTGGTCGGCGCGACGAGACAGAGGCAACAATTTCGAAAGGAAAAGAGTTTTTCCTTAATTTGTGGAGAATAGGTATAGCTAAGGATTTTTTTTTTTTAATAATAAATGATATATATCTCTACAAGTTTGTTTTTGAATATTTCAAGAAAACCTTAAATAATCCCCAATGAAATATTTGAAGTTAAGAAATAAACATTTGCAGCCGTATTCAAAATCCTCTTTTAGCTTTAAAACCGCTTTTAGAACTGGTGACTTATTTATTGAAAGAGACAAAAAAAAGTTTTGTACATTTCAACTAAACTACAATCAAAATATTTTGTTGCCCTTAAAAGGGCCGATTTTGCTAGGATTCGAGGAGGACATATGCGTTTTACACAGTTGTGGAATCGCAAGGACCGAGTGGCGAAGGTTGTCTAGACTGTTTTTTCCGCACACCATTCGTTTTTACAAAAATCCACGAGTACTCGATTATTATGCATAATAATAAGGCAGCGAAGACTCCAAAAGCTCTTGTAAGCTCTCGACTTCTACCGCATATTGAGGTTCGCTAAATTCTTGTAGAACCACTCTCCGAGCAATGGTTTTGCATCTCTGCAAAACTACTGATCGGGGAGCAGCTCCAAAGTTTTGCGCTTCGTAAAGATCTCGAGCAACCTGCACCACTTGTTTGACCACAGGATTCACACACATGCTACAAAACCCCGATTGATTAATTCCATCACTTCTTATATTGCATAGCATACAAAGACGTTTTTTATTTATGGAATATGGTTATACAATCGCTATTGGTTTGTCAGTATGCATATTGATAGCGTGTTGTTGACCGAACGAATCAGAATGAAGAATATCTAGCAACAACCAACTTTTTATATATCTACGCAACTGAATTTGGTTGGTTTTGTGGGGGGTGGTCTAACGAGTACCTAAGGCCCGTATTCTCAGTCACACCTCAAATTAAGGACCCCTTGCGACTTGAAGGTCGCCTTGAATAAGGACACCTTCGTGGTTTGCGACTCTGGCATTTCATAGAGGCGAGTAAAAGTATCCTTATTCAAGGAAGCCTTGTCATAAGTTTTGCAACTGACAACACCGCTTTTTACGAAATGTCTATTGTTATTGTCAATAAGTGGTCATTGTTTATGTTTGCCGTATGGTTAATGCTGTTGGTTCTGTGTGTCGTTGATGCCTTAGGTTGAAGCGAATATTAAGGTCAGATAGCTGTAGAAATAGTGATTTGTCTGTAAAATTTATGCACAAGTAATTATGGCGACCAAGTACACCGAGACTGAGAAAATATTTCTGGTCCAGATGGTAGCTCAGCACAGAGTCATAGTTGAAAATAAAAAAAATAAACGCCGTATTATTGGAGGAAAAACAGCTTGCCTGAGATGAAATTTATAATTCCTTGACCATTTTGTAGATAATCCACAACCATGAAGTTGCTTCGCAATATAAGAATAATAATGGACAAAATAAAAATATTACGTAGCAAAGTCAATAATTAATAAAAATTTAAGAAAAATAAATATACAATTGATCCATTAATTTTTTGATGTTTTTTTTATCTTTGTCTTTTTTAATGTCCCAACTTTTAAATGTTTCAACCGTTTGTTTCTTTTCCTCTGTCGAATACCAAGTCTAGCGCGACCTTAAATACTTTGTAACAGTTGAGCGAACTTGCCCCTGATGAAGAGGTCTTCTGGCCTCGAAACATGTAGGGCGCTTTTACTTTATCAAAATATTTTGTGGAGGAAGACTTTATGTATTCTTTTGGAATTAAATTTCAACTTTACTTTGAGAGATGGACTACTTTAATTTAGAATTACAATGGATTCTGCATGTTTCGATGAATGTACAGGGTAGTCCAAATTTTTTTTTTTTTTTTTTTTTCTTAATGTTAAACCGTTGAAACAGGTTGCACTCTTATCTTGCTGGGACCTCCTGCCATAGAAGATCCTGGAGATCCTGCATTTTTTATATAATCTTTTAGTACATCCTCAAAGTACTGGGCTGACTCTTGGGGGCCCATAGTAATTGATGGACTCTCCCCAACTGCTATGGATGACAACTTTTGTCTATGGCTAAGATAATCCGTTACCCATAAGGATAACTCCTTAGCCTTCTCGGACTGGTCCATATAGTAATTTTCAAAGGAAGGTTGTTCGAATCTTGCGCAGGATGTGGCTATTATTGAGGCCATGGTGAAGTTATTCCTATTAAGAGCTGCTGTATCATCCTTATTCTTGAGGATCTTGATGAACAGCACATCCTCAGTGTTCTCTGTCCTCAGCTTCTCTACTGCCTTCTGGTAGAGATCCCTAAGATCCCTGAGCACATGAAGTGATAGTAGCTCAGGGTACTTCCTAATTAAGTATGTGTCAATTAAAACTAAGTGGTGCATCTCAGCTCCTCTTATTAATTGGATAATATCTTTGCAGACAGACACTATTGGGGTCACCCTAGTGCTCCTGGAAAGACCGTTGAGCACGATAAAGATTGCCCTCCTGAGTGAGAAATTAGCACTTAGGAAATTGTTGTTCCAGCCCAATATCTCTGGGGAGGGTCTTAGATCTGCAGACCAAAGTTGGGCCCACTCCCTAAATCCTACACTTCCACTAAACGTTTTTAGTCTATTCTTTATCCACCCTGCACCATTGTCTGAATTGACTGATTTGACAATAGTGAGTAGTACCACCCCCATCATGACCAAAACTCCATCCGGATTAGTGACTAGTTTATCCCAAAGATCACTAACCTCTTTTAGGATTTTCTTCAGGTGGTCATAATGAGGACTTGAGAGCTCATGTAATACTTCATCTGCAGATAGACCTTTAAAGGTTGGGTTGATGCCACTGTCTCGTAGTCCTGCATTTATGGCATCATCCTTTGCCACTTTAACAGGATCTCCTAGTAACCCTAGCATACCAACCAGAGAGCCTGCCAATTTTTTCGCAGTGACAAGATCATCATCTTCATTCCCCAGTTCATAGAAAAGTGATAGGTGGTATAACCCCAATCTAGACCAAATGTGGGGTGATGTTAGGACCCCTGGTTCTAGTGTATAGATATCTAGTGGGGTCAGGTCCCATACTACTGGATCAATTGGTCTAGCAGGGGTTATCTTCGAGTAAGTTCTAGTATTGGAAATGAGGGAAAGGGTACCAACATCAACCTGAGCCATGGTTGTAATAATACAATATCTTTAGACTCTATGGCTATAAGGTATTAATTTTATACTTGGAAACATTTTATAATTGGACACTTTCTTATGGAAACACCCTTTATTTTTAGAGATAGAAAAAAATGGACCCCCCACTCTGAGGCTCAAATTTCATGAAATTTTGATTGGTGCAAACTGCATTTTGATATCTTCAACCGTTTAGGCGCTAGAGGGCGATTCTCGATTTTGAGCAATACTGTAAAGCCTCCATATCTTTTTTGTTTATGGAAATAATTTATTTCCGTAAAGACCTTTTGGAAGCACTTTTTCAAGCAAAATTCAGTGACGTTCTCAGTTTTTTTCTGTCTGGCTTCGATTTCGAGATATTGACCAAAATCCGATTTTTTTCAATAGGACACCCTATATATTAATAGTTCATTAGAAAGCTATGCTTTCGCTGATTTTAATGATACAGGTTTGATAGGTTTATCTTTAACAGTTTTCGAGAAAAAAAAATATTTCGGTTTTTGTCATAAGAAACAATGTGTAAGAAAGAGACCTTTCTCAGTTTCCTTACAGAGATAAAGTCCTTTTCCAACACATTGTTTCTTATGACAAAAACCGAAATAATTTTTTTTCTCGAAAACTGTTAGAGATCAACCTATCAAACCTATATCATTAAAATCAGCGAAAGCATAGCTTTCTAATGAACCATTAATATATAGAGTGTCCTATTGAAAAAATCGGATTTTGGTCAATATCTCGAAATCGAAGCCAGACAGAAAAAAACTGAGAATGTCCCTGAATTCTGCTTGAAAAAGTGCTTCCAAAAGGTCTTTACGGAAATGAATTATTTTCATAAACAAGAAAGTTATGGAGGCTTTACAGTATTGCTCAAAATCGAGAATCGCCCTCTAGCGGCTAAACGGTTGAAGATATCAAAATGCGGTTTGCACCAATCAAGATTTCATGAAATTTGAGCCTCAGAGTGGGGGGTCCATTTTTTTCTATCTCTAAAAATAAAGGGTGTTTTCATAAGAAAGTGTCCAATTTGGCCCACCCTGTACAGGTTTGTTCCGTATATTTAGACAGCGCATATAGCTCGGTTTGAAGCAAGATAGGAAAAAAATTTAAATACAAAGTAAATAGGGATTTACGAGAACAGCTGAATAATTTAGCTTCTATATATACAGGGTGCACGCTGAAGATGTGACAGACACAACTTGTATAAATAGAACACCCTGTATATGTTTGCCTAGAATAGCTCACCATTGATATAAGGAACCCGGAACAGATCTAATGTTAATGCATTTTAAAACTTAAATAGCGTAAGAACAGCTGAATCAACAAATATTTGAAATCAGAAGAAAACAATCTATCATTCTAGCCAAAAATATACAGGATGTTCCATTTAGAAAAAAATACAAGTTTTGTCTGCGACATCTTTTGCGTGCACCCTGTATATATGTAAAAAGTTATCTAGCGGTTCTCGTAAATCCCTATTTACTTTGTATTTATATTTTTTTTCTATCTTGCTTCATTAGCGAACTATATTTTGTCTAAATATACGGAACAACCCTATACCTTCTTGGCCTCCGCAGCACAACCCGCGTGTGGCTAAATTCCCCAAAATGTGGCAATGCCACGAATGCGGTGATTTATCGACTCACTAATGGATGCTAATCCCTGTTTGATTTAACACTGCTTTTTCTACCATTCCACCACGGTGCCTACACCAGCTGAATTTAGCCACATACGCGGTTATCATCAGCGACATTTATCTCTTCAAACATATTTTCCAGCCCATCCATACTCATTACAATACTAATAATAAACTTTGCACATCAATGAAATACCTACAGTTCACGTACTGTCACCAATCACATGAAATTTTTTTATAGAAATAGGTTAGAAAACCAGTCTCAAGGGACCTCTGGACATTCCTCAAGTCAAGGAAGGAAATGTGCCAAAATACGCATAAGCGGCGATAAGGACGCCTTGACAATTTTGACTCTGAAAGACAATTTACTGCCAAGGTAACCTTTAAGGAATCCTCAGCACTCAAGTAGGCACTATGAATACCGGGCTAAGTGAATAGGTCATACCAACTAAAACTACAATCAAAGTATTTTGTGGCCCTGAAAAGGGCCGATTTTTTATATCCTAGGTTTCAAGGGCAACATATCAGACAATTCGCCGTATCCACCATCACAAAGCATGGGTTCTTGCAAATGTGGCATGTAGGTTTAACGTAGAGGTTCGGCATTCTCAAATCACCCTCAAGCGTCGTAACATGAAAATGAACCCTCTCATGCCCATAACTCCGTACTACGTCCCAAGCATCATAGTACGTCATACATGTTACCACATCTCCATAGGCAATATGTTGCTGGATGTACGAAATAATGTGATACCTTCCTGCGAGGTCGTATGAAATGCCTTCGTCTTCCATGGTAGATACTCTTTCAAGTTTCAAGAAGAAATGTGCTCTCTATGTGTTGCATTCTCTGTTAAATAATGACACCAACTCAAGGTCACACACCACCTCATGGTCACACCTCAACTCAAGATCAAAATATTCTGCGACCTTGAAAATATTGTAGAAAATTCACGGTCACACCTCAAGGTCGCACACCTACTTATGGTCTACCAAGTGACCTTGAACAGCTCAAGGTCAAGGGCGTCAAGGTCGACTCAAGGTCGCACCCCGACTTATGGTCACACAAGTGACCTTAAAAAACTCAAGGTCAAGGGTGTCAAGGTCGACTCAAGGTCGCACACCTACTCATCGTCACACAAGTGACCTTGAGCAACTCAAGGTCAAGGGCGTCAAGGTCGACTCAAGGTCGCACACGTCAAGGTCATGTGACGTCAGAGGAGTGGGGGTGAGCCCCAATCGGTTTTTGGACACTACTCGTTTATTTCTTCCTCCTGCTCTATCTAGCGCAGTTCTCAACCATGACTATATAGTTGCAGTTACTTCTTGCTCAGTCGCATTCCTTGTAATAGGTGTTTTTTTTTTCAAACACCCTAAAAAAGAAATATGTACGTCAAAGAATTAACTGAACATTTATTTTATTGTAAAGCAGATTACAAATCGTTGACCCATCACTTTTTATTTTTTTGAGTTCATTCATATTTTATTTATATTTAAATTTATGTTATAGGCGATAAGAATGAATTCAAGAAATTCACGTTCAAGGCCATTCTTTCAAACTTGAACCAACTATGATAAATTTTATAATGTTCACTTACCTAAAATTAATTTGATAATATTTGTAAATATTTTAAAGGAATCCTTATTGCCTTGGCCAGACCAATTACGTTTCAATGCCAACTCGTGGGACATTATTTTGTTCATAATTCGTCGGGTACTGTCTATTCCTCCTAAGATAATTACAAAACACTCAAAATAAAAAAGAATGATATTTAATTTGGGAGTTCAAGAAAATGAATTATTCATAATTCATATTGATAAAACATTTGTCACTCTGTCCCTAACAACTGCAGCTCCCACATCATCATCCCCTTCTTCACCATGATCATCAGGTTCCTGTTCCCCAACTGGATTTGCCATGGGTGGAATATTTTCTTCATTGAAAAGTAAATCGTCGTCCAGTGCTATATTATGCAGGACACACGCTACTCTAATAAAATGACAAATATATCTAATATTTTATAATTTAAGGTGGTAAAGTTGTCTAAATTTTTGCTTTAATATTCCAAAAGTATGTTCAATCACATATCGTAGCAAGTTAGCTTGAAGTGGATATCCAATGTCTCCTAATAAAAAATACCTCCCACATTTTTCTTCTAAGGTATTTTTTAAAGGCGAGTTCCGATACACTCTTGAATCGTAGACGGATCCGGGGTAGCCAATAAAGATATCAATTATCTTGTTTTTGTGATCATACAACGCTTGAATCTGAAATAAAATAAATGATAAACAAATCGAAAATTTTTAAATAAATTTATTTATTGCAAAAAAAGGGATCCTTTGATAAGTAATACATTTTTTGAAAAATTATGTACCATCATCACCAAAAGTAACTGGGACAGCATCATATTAGCTCTTGTACTATTGTACTTTGTAGAATTAGTCCATCAGGAGATTATTATGAATTATTTTTGTCCCAGATACTTTTGGTGAGGATGGTACATATTGGGGATTAACTTCACTGCAGTTTAACCCTTGCAATTTAAAACAACAGCAAATACGCACTGACTTAATTTTTTATGTGCATGAACAATTCACATTTTGATAATAATAATAATTATTACTTAATACATGTATATGTACCATCGTCACTAAAAGTAACTGGGACAGCATCATATTAGCTCTTGTTTGTACCTACTATTATAGTTGAATTCACGATAGAGTGATTCGGGTCTTTGAATTTTGAATTTCAAATTTTTGTATGAAATCGTTTAAGTTTTTTGCCGTTTTCTGCATTATTTTTTGATATTTTGTTATATTGGCAATCGGTTTTTTGGCTTTTTATTGTATTATGTGCCTTTGTGTTTCGGTGTTGCGTTTCAAACCTGGTTTTAGTTCTGACTTAAGTGTTTACTCTTCTTATAATTGTTCACTTTGGACTCTAACAACTTAACTGCCTGTAAAGAAATTGGAAATAATTTTTTATTCTGGAATGTATATCACTTTTTTAAATACGACCCTGTCGTTTACCCCAGCTGACGGAATCGAAGCGCTAACGTATGCTGGCAACCTGAAGAAAAAGTTACTAGAAATGTCAACGCGAACTGTCAACTTCACTTTCTATCGTGATTTCAACTATATATGATTTTTAGTGTCAAATACTTGTGAATGAATTAAGGGACAAATTTATAGTCGTTCCTTGGACGTCGTGAGTTTAGAATAGACACTTGCTACTATTTGACAAGTTAGTCATGTCAATGTTAAACGTTCAAGCCTTCCTTACGGTTCAAGGAAACCGCCTATAAATTGGACCCTAAATGAAGGATGTAGCATTAGTACAGGAGAATCATATAAATTATTGTTG